TTTAAACCATTTACAAATATTTAGAGATGACACACCTTGCTTTCTGAAATTGAGACAGGCCTGAAGTGCTTGCTGCAGAGGATCAAGGACTGAAGCCTTCAATACAGATTATCTCTCATTATCAAGGAAATAAAAATCCTCACCACTGGACCCATAGGCAGCATCATGATCTGAGAAGATGGATTGGCATGGGACATTCTGAATCAGACAATCGTATGATCTACTACAATGGAAATGAAAAAATAAGAAAAAAGTGTCACATTCATTGTTAAAAAGATCATTTCCAAATCTATCTTGAAATGGAATGTTATGAGTGATAGGGTAATATAGATACACTTACAAGTTAGACCTTTAATACCACAATCATTCAAATATATGCATCAACAACTAGAGGCAAAGAGGAGGAAATAGATGATTTCTACCAAGTCTTGCAGTTGGAAATAGAGTGATCGTGTAATCAAAATTCATTGATAATAATGAGTGGCTGGAATGCAAAAGTTGAGAATAGGGAAGAAGGATCAGTAGTCAGAAAACATGGACTTGGTCCCAGAAATGAGGTCGGAGATAAAATGAGGGACTTTTGTGCAATCGATGGTTTATTCATTGCAAATACCTTTTATAAGAAGCACAAATGGTGCTTATACACATGGACCTCACCTGAAGGTTTGCACAGGAATTAGATTGACTGCATTTGTGGAAAGAATCACTGGAGAAGCCTAATGTCAGCTGTGAAAATTAGCCCAGTGGCTGATTGTGGAACAGACCATCAACTACTCATGTGCAAGTTCAAAATGAAGCTAAAGAAAATTGAGTCAAGTCCAGAACAAAAGCTGCATAGTGAAGTGGACTTGGGCGGAGGGATTGTGTAACAATGAAAGAATTTTTTTTTTTTTTACTTTTCAAAGAGAAGAGAGAACTGGGGAAGAGGTTAGGCAGGGAGAAAAGTGTAACAATGAATGAATGAAACTTCAAAGTCTCTGTAAACTTTCATTAAAATGGTAAAAAAAAGGATGCCTCTGATATTTGCTTGCATGTTATTGACTATAAAAGGAATTCTCTCCATCAGCAAACAAATAGATTGAGAAACTGTGGTACATACATACGATGGAATACTATGCAGCACTCAGGAGCAGTGATTTCAGAAAATACTATACAACATAGGAAAGGCTAGAGAGCATTATGCTGAATGAACCAACTCAGTCTTTTTTTTTTTAAACATGGTCTTTTAACAACAAATACTACATAAGATCATTATTGGAAAAATAGAAGGAAATTATTAGTAAGAGGTGGAAAAAAGTCCAAAGTGAGAAGAGGAGAGGGGCAGAGGGTCTGAGAATGGGAAAGCAGGAATCCATGGCTTCACAGAGTTTGTGGGTGGAGGGAGGGGCTAAAGGAATTAGGCTAGATCCAGTGGGGACCTGAAAGGATGAAGTGGTAGCAGGCATAGATGAATGGTTATTAACTTTATAAAATACACTGTATTGTAATGATTGTATGAAACACAATGTGAATGAAGGAATGTGTCAAACACAATGTACATGAATGAAAGACAAAGCATATGAATTTTGCATGCATACCTAGATAAAGTTTTAAAACATTTTTAAAAAAGAAAAAAGGCATTTTCTATGTGGATCATAATAAATTATTAATAGCATTGAGAAGAAGAAGAATTCTAGAACATTCAATTGTACTAACTTAGAACTGGCACAGAGATCAAGAAGCAGTAGAACAGAATGAGGAAAACATTCCTGGTTTAAAATAATGAAAGGTGTGCATCAGTATTCTTCTGTATTTCCCTACTCCTTTATTCAACCTGTGTGCTAATGAAATAATCTGAGAAGTTAGACTGTATGAGGAAGAATGCAGCATCAGGATCAGAGCAAGACTCGTGAAAATGCTGTGCTTTACAAGATGACTTAGCCTTTTTTTAAGCAAGCAAAGGTTTGAAGCATTTACTGATGGATATCAGACTACACTTTTCAATATGGAGTACATCTCAACACAAAATAAACACAAATTCTCACAACCGGGCTAATATGTAACATCATGATAAATGAAGAAAAGTTTTAAATTCTAAAAGATTTCCTTTTACTTGGGTCCCCAGTCAATGACCATGGGAGCAGAAGTTAGGGAACTGGCTGATTGTATCACAATAGGCAGATCTGTTGCCAAGGAGCTTATTAAATGCTAAAGAACAAGGGTGTTGTTTTAAAGTTATGCCTGATCCAAGTTATGGTATTTTCCATTGCTTCATATACATGTGAAAATTGGACAGTGAGAAAAGAAAGACTGAGGCAGAATTAATGTCTTTGAATTGTAGTGTTGGTGAAAATACTGAATATACCGTATTATTGTTGTTGTCGACTCAGAGACCTCATGTACAGTAGACCTGAAACCTGCTCTATCCTGTGTCAACTTTACTGTCTCTGATACCTACCCTCATTAACCCAGTCACTGAATCAATCCATCTCATCGAGGCTCTTCCTCTCTTTCTCTGTCCCTGCACCCTTCAAGGATGATGTCCCTCTCCAAGGACTGGTCCCTCCTTGCAACATGCCCAAAGTATGTCAGATGAAGCCTAAGAATCCTTGCCTCCAAGAAGCAGACTGGCTTCACCTTCTCTAGGACAAACCTGTTTGTTCACTTAGCAGTCCATGATATATCAACACTCTTACTCAGCGCCACAACTCAAAGGCATCAATTCTTTATCATTCTTAATCATTAACCAGCTCTCTGACACATACCAAGAAATGGCAAAGACTGTAAAAAAAAACCTGTCTTAGAAGACATGCAACCAGAAGGTTCTCCAGAAAGGAAAACTTGAGACTTAGTGTCACTCACTTGGGGCATTTTGCCAGGAGAGACCAGTCCCTCAGAGAGACACTACCATGCTTGGTAGAAGGTCGGGGTCAAAGAGGAAGACTTTCAGTGAGGAGGAATGACACAATAGCTGTAAAAATGTTCTTAAACACAGCAGAAAGTGCGAGGATGGTGCAGGACAAGGCAATGTTTCATTTGGTGGCACACTGCGTTTTTAGGAGTAGGTGCTGACTCTGTGGCATCTAAAAACAGTTGCTTATTGAAAAGATTTTAAAGGAATGGGTGCTTGCCACAAAGTGTTGGCTTATTTTCTCATTATAAAGAAACATTGACTTTCTTTGTTTTATTCTTTTCATTAGTTTATTTACAAAATTCTAATGCAAATTCTAACACATTTTTTCAATTTCACTCACCCCCCCATCAAATTGTACAACCCAATTATTAATCCCCTCTTCCCCCCGTATATCCACATCCCTCCGCTTTCAGCCTCTCCCACCCCTCCTCATTCTACAATAACTGTCTTATACAATATTTATCCTTGTGGGACTGAGTTCGTTCACTCAGCATAATGCTCTCCAGTCTCTTCCAATTTAGGTAATAATTTACAAAGTTATTGTTCCTGCGTGCTGAATAGTATTCCATTGTGTGAATGTTCCATAATTTCTCAATCCGTTCATTTGTGGTTGGACATTGGACTGTTTCCATGTTCTTGCGATGGTGAACATTGTTGTACATATCTCAGTTTGTGCCTCAGTTCTCATATTCTCAGGGTATATTCCAAGTAGTGGAATAGCAGGGTCATATGGAATTTCTATGTTCAGCTTTTTAAATTATTAACTTTAATGAAAATTTTACAGATATTTTGTATTTCCATTCATTCATTTATGTTCAGCTTTTTAAAGAAGCACCAAACTGCTTTCCAGAATGGTTGTACCATTTTATAATCCCACCAACAAGGTATAGGAGTTCCTTTCTCAGGGAGGTCTGGTGGCCTAGTGGAAAGAAGCTGCACTGCAATTCCAGAGGTACGTGGTTCAAAACCAGCAGATGCTGTGCTGGAGAAGGAGGGGCAATCTCCTCCTGTACCAGTCAGATCCTATTTGACAGTACACACACACACATAATAAAATAAAATAAAAAGAGTTCCTTTCTCGTCACATTCTCTCCAACATCTACTACTTGCTGTCCTGTTAAACTTTGCCACTCTTACTGGAGTGAGATGCTACCTCACTGTGGTTTTGATTTGCATCTCTCTTATTGCCAGTGATTTGGAGCACTTCTTACATTCATACCTAATTTTGAATTTGCAGCTTTTGCCTTAAAGAGAGCCTTTTGGGCAGCCTCAAAACCTGGAACCACCCCCGCTCCTGTATTCTAGGGACATGCCACCGTAGAAAAGCTGGCGACCAGGACTTGGAAAGAAGGTATGAATGGAAACAGGTGTACTTTGCACAAACGCACGGTCTTGATTGGATGATAGTAAAACACCGTAGCCAATGAGAGTGCTCTTGGCCGCTGAGTACTGAATCATATTACGAGGGAGGAGGGCCTTGGGAGTACGCATGCTCGCAGCGCAGACTATGTGCGTCCTTCGGTTTCCTTGGCAACCTCAGACTGTTGGAGGTGGTTGCAGGTTCATTAATCGATAGGAACAGTCAAGAGAACAGTTTGGTGGTATTTATTGCAATCAAATTCCCGAGCGGGCGCTTAAGTGGCCGACCCTGAACCGATTCCAGGTTCGGGGCGCGCAGCCAGAGGGGCCGGGTGGGGGCCCCAGAATCCTCGGGAAATCGCCCTGCAAGTTAAGGGCTGCAATCTTCTTTCCCCTATTCACTTTGTGCCCATTCATATATGGTTGGTGTTGTGTATCGTACAGTCAGAACCAACCCATGCCTGGTTTTCAGAGGCAGTTTAATGACACAGGAGGAGATTGTCCATCTTTATCCCACAGAGCAGCTGGTGACCTTGAACCCTGTGCCTTCAGGATTGCATCGCAGTCTCTTGCCACTAGGCCATCACAGCTCCCTATCTCCTGCCAATTATCAGCACCTTTTAAAGGGACAAGCGCTTTCTCTGAAAGAGGCTTTTATTTGCAGATCCATGCAACCAGTTGTCAAAAAGTTGCACCGGGGATGGGCCTCGAACCCTCAATAACGGGCTTTTGTCTTTTCTGCAGAGCCATGGGTAGCAAGAAGAAGGAAATTGCCCTTCAGGTAAGTGTCAGAATTTGGTTTTGCGTGGGAGAATAGGGCAATAGTGAGAAGTGGGGAGTTTGACACGGATCTTTCCCCACCCCCAGTCAATTTGCAACACTGAGGTAACCTGGGGTTGCTGTGATGCTGAACCTTGTGCCATTGGGGAAGGGGGTGTCAAATGCCATAACGAATGGTTGCCCATGATGGACAGTGTTTGGTGGAGCTCCCAGTTTTAAGACAAGTTTGGAAGCAGGAGTGGCATCCACTTTAAACCACATGTCTCTGGAAACTCTATGAACTTGGAGAAACACGATAGTTATTGGAAAGGCATTAGGTCTTTTGTTCATAGTGTCGCTATGAGTTCTGCTTGAATCGATGTCAATCAACAACCACCACCCGTGGTGTTTTTGCATTTTTATTTCACTTTTTTCGAATTTTATTTTATATTTCTGCCTAGTTAACAGTTACATGGGAAATTACAATTCACAAACCATGGCATGAAAAAAGCACATACTCCTGGTCAGGAAATACTCTAAACCCATTTGTTTGTATTCATTCAAAAGTCCAATATTCAAGTGTCAAATAGGAGAACTGTAATTTGTTTTTCCTTAAAAGCGGGGAAAACATTTCTTCAGACAACAGTTTTCCAATTTCAAGAAGTAGTTTTGAAAACATCAATTGTGAGAGTAGAAACGGTAACAAACTTGGAGGACGTTCGCTTGAACGTTCGCTTGAGAAGCAGCACATCACCTGGTTGGAAAATGTGCTCTTGTGCTTAGTGAATTACCTGTCAGTTTTGGTCCACTTCTGCATCTTCCCAGGTGTTAAAACTGATGTTCTTGATGCTTCTCTGTAAGACAGGCAGGGTTTAAACTTGAATGTTGTACTCTTCTTCCTCAAAGGAAAAAATCTGTTAGCCCCTCTCATGATGATGACACATTTTAGTGCCCTTAAATATCTGCAAGAAATTTAACACCCTTGGTACGAATAGTCAGGAAATAAGAAGACTCATTGCAATGGAAAAATCTGCAGGTAGGAACCTCTCCTAATTATTGAGGGGTAGTGATGTCAGTTTGAGGACTAAGGTGCGTCTGATTCAGGCTATAGTCTTTCTGATAACTAGCTATGCAGCCGAGACCTGGACAATGAATAAGGATGATAGAAAAAGAACTGAAGCCTTTGAGATATGGTGCTGGAGAAGAGCACTGAACCTTCCATGGATGGCCAAGAGAATGAACAGATAAGTCTTAGAGAGGGTGCAGCCGGAGTGCTCTTTGGAGTCAAGAACGATGAGGCTTCACCTCACGTACTTTGGACATATTGCTAGGAGGTGCTGTTCTTGGAGAGGGACATGATGCTGGGAAGGGTGGAGGGTCAGCGAAGGAGAGGAAGACCCTCAGCCAAGTGGACTGACAAGGTGACTGCTGCAATGGGCTCTTGTGTGTCAGGAAGTGTGAGGATGGCTCAGGACAGGACTTGGTTCAGATCTTTTGTTCATAAGGTCACTGAGTCATACTCAACTCAATGGCACCTAACAACAGGAGCAACAATAAATATATGCAAGCATAATACTGGGGATAACCTTAATATTCTTACAGTACTCAAACAACCCATAAAGTCCAAATCTGCATAAGAATAAAACATTAAAACCAAGAAAATATTAATGGACATCGTTTGAGGTGACCATTGCATTTGTTGCTGACATGTAATTATGACTTGCAGTGAGAATATGATGCAATTGTTGTTAGTTGCTGGTGGGTCGACTAGGACTCCTCACAAACCTGGCAACAGCACCCCTGAACTCTGCCCTGTCCTGTGTCAGCCATCCTCATGGAGCTCCTTGAGAGCCTGGAGCCCACTGTGACAGTCACTGTGGCAATCCGTGTGGCCGAGATAGGACGTTGTGATCCACTGAGTTGGAACTGACTCAGAGCTGACCTTCTAGCAAATTTTCAGAAGCACGAAGTCAGTTGGGAGGAGACTGTTCATTCATCTTCCATGAAGCAGGGGATTCAAACAGCCTGCCTTTGTGTTGGGAGCACAACTCCTTCCCACTAGGCCACCAGAGCTCCCTTGAGAATATGTTGTTGTTGTTCGCAGTTGAGTTGGATCTGACCCATAGCTGACCCTCGCACAGGTTTTCCGAGTAAATCACACAAGAAGAGATGGCCTGTCCTTCTCCTGTGGAGGAGCATCTGGTAGATTCTGAGGGACTCCGCACAGCTTGCCTTGGGGATTGCAGTGCAACTTCTACCCACCTGGCCGCTGAAGCTCTCAAGAGGCCGTTTGTAGAGTGGCCATGCTTCTGTAACTGTGGGCTCTGTGGACACCCCGTTCTTACTGTACTCTCTTTTTTTTATCATTAAAAATTTTTTAAATTAATTTTAATGAAAATTTACAGAGACTTTGGATTTCTATTAATCCATTGTACTTTTCTCCCTGCCCACCCGTCTCCCCCTCCAGTACACTCTTCTCTTTGAAAAGTAAAAGAAAAGTTCCCCCATTGTTTTCAATCCCTCCCCCCCCAGGTCCACTCCACTATACAGCCTTCGCTCTGGACTCCCGTCATGACAAAAATACCTAATCGCATATCCCTCTTAAACAGTTTTCTTCCTCCTCTCTTTCAGTGCAGTATACATTATTGAACCCATCTTTCTCAGTTTCCACCCAAGCCCGAGGTCAGTCCTGTTTTACAATAGTGGCACCATGTAGTATTTGTCCTTTTGTGACTGAGATGTTTCACTCAGCATAATGTCCTCCAGAGTCACCCATTTTGAATAATATTGCATGAGTTCCTTGTTTTTCAATGCCGCGTACTATTCCATTGTGTGAATGTACCACAGCTTCTCTATCCATTCGTTCGTTGATGGGCACTTAGGTTGGTACCAACTCCTTGCTGTTGTGAACAAAGCCACGATAAACATGGGTGTGCATTTATCTGCTTGTGTGGCAGTTATAGTCTCTTTGGGGTATATTCCCAGTAACCACTACTATCTTTAAATGTTCATTGGTGCTAAATAAATGTTTTGAGACATGCTGTGTGCCGGGTGGGCCACTAGGTGGTGTTAGCTCTATCAACAAGATCCTCAGCTCTCTGAGCCTCAAGTCCTTTATATAAACAGGAGAGGGAATGCCAGTGGATTTGGGAGGAGTTTTCTCTGACACCGTTGCCATGTGATGTTCTGTGCTTATGACCTAGCTCCCCAGCTCCCCTGGAAGCTCTCAGGGGCCAGGAGCATTGTTAACAGTGCCATTCATTTTCATGTGTGGCCCTCAGTCTGACTTGGGTGCAGTATTTCAAGTGTTATTATCAGTTGCATAGAATCAGCCTCTGATCCAGGGAAGCCCTGTTGATACACAACAGAATGAAATACTAACAGCTCTGTTACACTGAAATGCAGACCACCCTTGCTGATTCATAGCGTTTTCATCGGCTGGATTTTGAAAGTGGATCATCAGACTTCCTCTGGTGGCTTCTTGTTGTTGTTGATTGCTGTCAAGTCGAGGTCGACTCATAGCGACTCTATGAACAAATGACCTAATGCCTTTCCGTAACTGTCATTGTTTCTCCAAGTTCATAGAGTTTCCAGAGGCATGTGGTTTAGGAAGTGGATGCCACTCCTGCTTCCAAGCCTATTTTACAACTGGGAGCTCCACCTAACACTGTCCACATTGGGAAACCATTCTGGCATTTGATACCCTAATGGCACAAGGTTCAGCATCACAGCAAACCCAGGTTACCTCATAGAACACATTGACAACGAGTGATGTGCAAAGTGGAAGAGTGTTCCTCCAGATATAACAGTACTGGTCTCATTTAGCAGTGGTTAAGTGGTCTGGTGGCTTACTGGTAAGGAATTGCACTGCCATACCAAAGATAGGTTGTTCAAATCCACCTTTGTAGAAAGATGGACAGTCTCCTTCTGTGCAACTTGCTGCTTCTAAAAACCCTCTGGAGGGTCAGCTGTAAGTCAGTTCTGATGGCATACACCACCAACACCACAGAAAAGTGAAAACAAATCCCTGAGAACCAAAATAAGACCTTGCGTCTGTTCCAACTGAACTTAAAAACCATCCCAAGAGTAGATTGGATGAAGTGAATACTAGTGGCCAAAGATCAGGTGAGTTGTGAGATGACATCAAGAACATCATCCAGGAAGAAAGCAAAAGGTCATTACAAAGACAGTGATGAAAGAAAAGACCAAAATGAATGTCATAAGAGACGTAAATGTGCGCTGGAATGAAAAGAAGCCTAAACAAAGGGGAAGAATGCTGATGTAAGATAAGGGAGGTGAGCAGAAGATTTGAAGTGGGCGTCTTGAGAAGATAAAGCAGAGTATTGCAAGATGTGCAAAGGGCTGGGGTTAGAGAATCAAAAGGGAAGTGTCGCAGACCAAGGGTAAAGTATTTTTATAATTATTAATAATGAGACAACCGACCAAGCATGAGATAGAACAGAGAGAATAAATACAGGGGGCCAGCAGTTCC